CTGGGTAACTAAGGAAATACATTGTTTGTTTGTTTAAAGGGAGTATCCTCGAAAGTAGAGGAGTGGGGAGGGGAGGGGGGTAGGAGATGGGTCCCACCCCCCTCCATTCTAGAGTGGGGGTGGTCGTCCCCCTGCCCCCACCCCCCTTTCATACCCCTATGATTATATTTTTTTATTTCTTTTTATTCTGCTGTTGATTATATTTTTTTTTCAAATGATAATAACGATGGTGTAACTACATTTTTTTTTTTTTTTTTAACTATGTGTGTAACTACATTTTTTTAAGCTATATCGATAGAATTAGCAAATAGGATCAATGTCACTTACATTGACAATCCAGGAATCGACCATCAGTGCTTGGGTATCTTCAATCTGCAAAATAATAATAATAATAATAATAATAATAATAATAATAATAAATATACAAAAAATGGTACATCTGTAAACTGTTGGTAATGTAATAATGCATACACATATTTCCTTAAACATACGCACACTTCATGAGAAGTATCTAACTAAAATTGATTTTTATATCTTTTATGACAATTCGAATAAAACACTGGATATAATTTATAATAGTCTACCATGTTCAGGCTACATTTTCTTCGGATCGGATCCCATTTTTTAAACACGATTTAAGGGTACCCTAAGCTATAGTATACTTACAAGGGAAGCAATGGTTCATATAAAATACAAGTTATTAAAAGAGTAGACAAGTAGAATGATATAAAAGTTAACACGATATAATGTCACCATACACCGAAAACCCACATACTAAAATCTATGGTTATGAAAAATAAGTCCAAAAATCATGTATATTATAGAAAGGAATAAAATAACAGTAAAAAAATATGACAAATAACAGACCAAGTCGATATGACGTCATAAAACGCCGTTGTCATGGCAACCAGATTAAATTGGCGAAAAGCTGCTTAGATATGTTTATTCGTTAAAATCCGTTAATGCTTTGAATTTGACACATGAATAAATATCCTAAATGTTAAATCTCAGAAAAAAAAATCTATATTGGTTCCGTAAATATGAAATTCTAAACCAATAAAAGTGTTTTAATAAGGGGAGATAAACACTTTGTTTGGAAAAATGGGGTCCACTTTTAATTAAAATCTCTTTCTTTGATTTTGACCCGAAATTAGAGGTTGGATATGTCTTATTTACAAAACGTAATTCTAAATACTTTTGGTAAATAGTGATATTGAAGTAATATCGCATAGTAGGTAACTGTTTCATATAATTTTCATTACTTTTGAGAAATGCCAGCTTGAGGTTTTACATATAGTATCCCTCATTCAGTTGTTTCATTCATTGAATAAAACAACTCATCTTTTTAATTAATTAATTTTCCTCTCATTTAAAAGCATTTTATCTTAATATCTTAAATAATCTTTATATACACATATAGCACATCTTTCCCACAAGGTTAACAATCTTTATGAATATATAAAAAAAATCCGCCATTTCTATATCATTATCCCTAATTCATCTTAAAACAACCATACAAAAAATATAACACCTACAACCACAACTACAACATACAAACAACAACAAAGCCACCAATCTACCTACCATATCGAAGTGTTTGATATTCATCCTAATTTAACGATGGTCTGGGAGCTCGGAACCACATGCATGTTGTAGTAACACTTACAACCACAACTACAACATACAAACAACAACAAAGCCAATATTCTACCTACCATATCGAAGTGTTTGATATTCATCCTAAATTTAACGATGGTCTGGGAGCTCGGAACCACATGCATGTTGTAGTAACACTTACAACCACAACTACAACACACAAACAACAACAAAGCCACCAATCTACCTACCATATCGAAGTGTTTGATATTCATCCTAAATTTAACGATGGTCGGGGAGCTCGGAACCACATGCATGTTGCAGTAACACTTACAACCACAACTACAACATACAAACAACAACAAAGCCGCCAATCTACCTACCATATCGAAGTGTTTGATATTCATCCTAAATTTAACGATGGTCTGGGAGCTTGGAACCACATGCATGTTGTAGTACACTTACAACCACAAACTACAACACACAACAACAAAAAGCCGCCATCTACCTACCATATCGAAGTGTTTGATATTCATCCTAAATTTAACGATGGTCGGGGAGCTCGGAACCACATGCATGTTGCAGTAACACTTACAACCACAACTACAACATACAAACAACAACAAAGCCGCCAATCTACCTACCATATCGAAGTGTTTGATATTCATCCTAAATTTAACGATGGTCTGGGAGCTTGGAACCACATGCATGTTGTAGTAACACTTACAACCACAACTACAACACACAAACAACAACAAAGCCGCCAATCTACCTACCATATCGAAGTGTTTGATATTCATCCTAAATTTAACGATGGTCTGGGAGCTCGGAACCACATGCATGTTGTAGTTGTTGAAGAGGTCGTGGTGTAGTCTCCGAACCTGGTTTAAGTCGTAGGCTTGAG